CCTAGAATGACGGATTTGTCAGACGGTTCATGCAGGCGCAAGATGACTTACAAGTGCGTACTGAGTACGATCCAGTAAGGGGAAAACGCGTGGCTAAAATGGTTGAGTTATTATGCTTGACAGCTCATACGTGTAAGGGAGCTTTTGGAATTCTTGTTCTTTAAAAACGACATGTCGGCCTTTAGAATGATCTCGATTATGAGATTTTAAGCCGACGTACTGGAATCAAGTACTGATATAGGTTCCATCACCTCAGAATGCTGAGGTAATAGAACCTAGGGGACAGTTGTGGGGATATATTTTCTGAAATACCAACACGTGGCCAAGGTGACGCCGACGTGTCAACCGAGGTGCCACGTGTCCTGTCCGTGACGCCGAGGTTATCTCGGCTAGGCCGAGGTTACCTCCGAAGATATCGGAATTCGGAATAAGCGGATAAGGCACAAGAGTCCTAGAATGAGGAAGGACTTCAGCATGGGTAAGGATAAAGCTCTTAAGGAGTTTATCTTTATCTATTGGAGAGTTCGAGATAGGCACTGAGCTAAAAGTCCATTGAAGCTAGGCTTCTATTGGGACTAGGACTGAGTTGGTTATAAAAGAGAGGCACCCCCATGGGTCAAAAGTACGCAATTTATATTCTGAACAGTGAGTTAAGCATTATTGATTATCTTTGAGAGATACTTTACTGACTTGATCATCAGAGTGCCCCCGGATGGACGAACCACCGCCGGAATCTTCTTTTTCTGTTGCATGTCATTCGGGCACCATCTATTCTGCCAGTGCTCTCCAACTGAATACTGAATTGGTAGTGTGGTCGAAAATTAACACACACAGGAAGGAATGGAAGGGTTCGCAGTGAACTGGAAAAGGACAGTAGCAGTGGAGTGATGGCAGTGAATTGACCAAAAAAAAAAAGAAAAAAAAAGTGATGATGGACAAAGGGTCTCAATTGTCAATCTCAGTTAGTTATAACTAATTATTAAAAATAATTTGTTAAAATTGATATTGTTTTAAAATTTTAAATTTTAAATTAAAAAATTGAAAATTTAAAATGGGAAAATTAAAATAAAAAAAAAACTAGTTTTTGACCGTTGTTAACAAAATAAATCTTGAGTTTTAATTTTTTCAATTTGAATCCTAAACATTTAATTTGTTTTTAATCTGAACCATTTGCCTATTTTCGTTAAACAAAATGGCGAATTACACTAACAATCCCTATAATTTGAAGTTCGTATTAGTTTGGTCCCTGACTTTTCAATTGTGACACATTTGATTCTGAATTTTGAATCTTGTTCCAAATAAGGACAATTAAAGATATCATTGCTTAATTTCAAAGGCACAATTGTTAATTTGATAAAATATAAATTAATTTGACAAAAATAAATGTCAAAAAAATATTTTTAAATTTTTAAAAATTATTTCTACCCATCAAGATAAAATCATGTAAAATTGATAAATTTTTTACACATTTATTTATTTATTTATTTTACAAAATTAATTTTTATTATGTGTTTGGATGATGACCATGTAATGGGTGGTTGTTAGGATTATAATATGTAATCGATATATTTAATATATGAAATGTTTTTAATTTTAGATTTTTGATTTAATGGATTGGTTTAATAATGATATTAAAGTTGTCACCATATTTGACTTTTGAAAAAATAGAAACTAATTTAATGAAAATAAAAACTACCCATTATATGATCATCATCGAAACACATAGTAAAAATTAATTTGATATAAATAAATCAATAAGTATATAAATGTCTAAAAGATTTGTCAATTTTATAAAATTTTATCTTTATTACGTAGAAATAATTTTTAAATATTCAAAAATATTTTTTTGACATTTATTTTTTTTAAATTAGTTTATATTTTATCAAATTGACGATTTTGTCCTTAAAATTAAGCAATAATATATTCAATTGTCCTTATTTTGAACAAGATTCAAAATTCTGAATCAAATGTGTCACAATTGAAAAATCAAAGATCAAAATGACACAAGTCCCAAACTATAGGGACCGTTAGTGTAATTTACCCTAAATAAAATCAATGAAAAATATGTATTTTTGTCATTAAACTCAATTAAATGAGTATTTTAGATATTTTATATATATCTACATTCGTTTAATGACTACAATAATATTCAGATTGTTTGGTTTAGTTTTTCAAGATTCACTTTTCAGAAAATTAAAATTTTATTTTTTTCGTATTTTTTTATTTTCACTGAAAATTGAATTTTTTTTGAAGCAATTTTTAATTTTTAAATACACCTAACATAAATATATTTAAAAACAATAATATTTGTAAAATAAATATTTAAAAAAAATCACTAAATACCAAAAAAAAAAGTAAATTTTTGTATTCTTGTGTATTTATTTTTTTTTACAATTTTTTTACTTTTTAGATATATTTAAGTAAGATGTATCTACAAAAGTGAAAAAAAAAAAAATTGCTTAAAATTTTAAAAATATTCACTAAAAAGAAAAAAATACGAAAAAAAAACTCAATTTCAAAAAAATTGAATGCAGAAAATTGAAACCAAACACAGCGATTTTTTTTCTCGATTTTACCTAATGAAAATAGGCAAATGATTCAAATTAAAATTTTAATATTCAAATTAACGAAATTAAAATTTTATTTTGTTAATTCTATGATTAAAATTTTATTTTGGGCCCAAATTTGGAAATGTTAACCCATTTAGTCCCCAAAGTTTTTTGTTGGACTAATAAGTCCTATTTCCCAAGAAGCTTACTATAGGCATTTTTTAGATTTCCCTTCTTTTCAAACCTCGAACATTATTCATCCAACATCAAACATTAGATTTCAAACATCTAATGTTCATCAGATTTCAATAATTTTTGAAATTATAGAATGAAACATCAGATTCATTTACCATCATGAACATCAGATTTCAATAATCTAATGTTTACCATCATGAACATCAACATCAGAACATCATGAACAAACATCGTGAAAAATTAGATTTCAAACATCAAAAATTAGATATCAAACATCAGATTTCAAACATAAAAAATTAAAATAACGTGAAAAATTACAATGTTTGAAATCAGATTTCAAACATCAGATTTAAAACACCGTGAAAAATTACAATAATGTTTCAAACATTAGATTTCAAACATCTAATGTTCATCAGATTTCAATAATGTTTGAAATTGTAGAATGAAACATCAGATTCATTTGCCATCATGAACATCAAATTTTGATAATCTAATGTTTACCATCACGAACATCAACGTCAGAACATCATGAACAAAAATCATCTAATGTCTGTTGTTGATATATGTTTGATGTTTGGTGTTAACCCATTTGATGTTCGATGATGTTTTGGGTAATTTTCGAACATCAAACATCAACAAAAAAAATGTGTTCAAGCACATTCAAAATATGTTTGATGTTAACCCATTTGATGTTCGATGATGTTTTGGGTAATTTTCGAACATCAAACATCAACAAAACATCATCAAATCATATCAACATCAACAAAACAACATCAACACGGTGATGTTCTACCCTCAAATCGGATCGAATATCGGATCTGTGATGTTCTTCAACACAGTGATGTTCTTGAATGTTGGATCTGTGATGTTCTCCCTCTGCAGGTGCAAACTCTTCAACCTCTTCAGAATCCCCCAAATTCAATCACATACACATCTCTCTATACCTATATATCCACATCCATGAATCTACAAATGAGGAAAAAATCGAAACTTATTGGGTTCTGTTCACTGATCTCCAAGATCTGTGTTGGTGTCTTTCCGGTTATGGGTGGCGCCGTCACAGGGTTACTCTAGCCTTATTGTGATGTTGTTGTTGTTCGATTTGTACCCAATCTAATGTTTAGATTTGTTGTCTCTTTTGTTTTGTTGGTATTTTCAATCTAGAATGGTGAATGGTGAAGTATGTTTATGAATGGTGAAGTATGATTGTTTGCAAGAATGGTGAAGTATATGCGATTGATGAGAGAGGGAGACAGATGAGGAGTTTTTGATGAAGATCGAAAACATTAACCCGGAAAGAAACATATTTTTATTTTATAAAAATTTTAAAAAGAGGAAAAAAATTAGGTTAATGTTTGGACGAAGAAAAATGAATAATCTTAATGTTGTTTTGATGATAATGTTTGATGTTGTTTGATGATGATGTTGTGAGGTTTGATGTTGTTTGGATGATGATGTTTGATGTTGTTTTGATGATGATGTTGTGATGTAAAAAAAAGACTAAATGATTTATAAAAAAACACTCAGGACTAGATGGGGTAACATTTTCCCATATGGGACTTAGGAGTAATTTCTCCTTGTATTTTTTATTTTGTTTAAAATTAAATATTCTTTAAATTTTCCATTTATCCCCAATTATTTTTTATTTTTTTTTTATTTCGTATGAATAACAGATGGAAACATATAAGGTGGAGACAGAGAGAGAGAGACCATGATATAGAGTGTTCTTGAGAGTCAGTCTAGTGAGGAAAGGAGTGGAGCGAGGATTTGGGCGAGAAATCAGAGAGAAGCAAAGTATTGAAAACTGTTGCTTCAGATTTTCTCATTTAAAAAATTTAAAAAAAAAATTGAATTTTGAAAATGGGTTTTTCTTTGGAAAATTTATCCATAAGTCCTAGTTTTTGAAACGTTAAACCATTTAGTCCTAAAAGTTTTCTTATGCTCCATTTAGTCCCATTTTTACATCAACATGATGTAAATAATGTAAATGATCTGATGTTTCATTCTATAAATTCAAAATTTATTGAAATCTGATGAACATTAGATATTTTTCATCATATATTTTCAAACATTATTGAAATTTGATGAACATTAGATGTTTGAAATCCAATGTTTGTAACATGACTCTGATGTTATTAACATTGTATCTGACGTTATTAACATTGTAATGGGACCTTTCAGTCTATAAGAAAACTTTTAAGACTAAACAGTGCATAAGTTATTAATTTGAGATTTATTGGTGCATCCCCCTTTTTCTTTTTCTTTATTTTCTTTCGGTTTCTCGGACAAACAAACAACTGGGTTTTGAGTAAAATCCGAAGCTCACAGATACACTCTCTCTCTATATACACAAAACACAATCTTTGTTGAATTAAAGTTGCTGATCTTGACTCCATCACCTCCGAGATTTTGTTTCTGTACATAACTCCACTATTTTGGGTTTTTTTCCTATTTAAGATTGCCCATTATGTGTTTGCAATTAGGTGGCTGAAACCAAAAATGGCTCAAGAAGAACATAACCACAGGTGTAGCAATAGTAGCAGTGGTGGTGGTGGAAACAGATCTTCAAAAAAGTTGAAGCAAAAAAAAGTCCCACAAAGAGGACTAGGTGTTGCTCAGCTTGAGAAGATTTGATTAGAGGAACAACAAAAGAAAGATGCTATTTTACTATCCAATTCACTTCTATCACCAATTAATTCTTCATGTTTAGCTGTTCAATCTCAACGTACTTCCAATTTTAGGCATAACCCTACGCAAACTGATCTTTCTTCGCCAAATTTGATATTTAGACCGGCGCCTTCTATCCCCAACGTTGATGTTGTGCATCCGAATTACATACCATTGTCGAAATGGATTCGCATTTCGGTCTAATTTGAATTTACCCTATGAATCTAACCCCATTTGGCCTCCCCCTAATGTAATACAGAGGACACTGCAATTCCAGCAGCAACCTTCTTCTTCATCAATGGTTAGTAATGTTAATGAGTCCATGTTTTTTTAATGTGTTCTTAATGGGTTTTTCATGATTTGGAATTTGAATTTTGGGGTTTGTGAGAATTGAAGAAGGACTAACTGAATTTGTGAAAATTGTAGATGAACGTCTCACCAGGTACTTCATCATCATCTGAGATCAATTATCATCAGATAGAGCCCCCTTCAAACCAAAGCTTTTATGGCAACAACTACACACCTTTGTGGCAAGAGGAAGAGAAGGTAATGCTCAACTTCCCTTCATTTTCTCAGCCTTTATGCTGCAATTTTTCCTGCACTTGGTTGAGATTCACTAGAACAAGTTCTATTTATTAAGGTGACTGTTAAAATCATTAATTTCTGTAGTTTACAATTTGATAGATGTTTTCTTTGAAAGAGCTAGAATTGGTTTTTCTCACCAAAATCAAGACATTGGAAATATGGATCTTAATTTTATTTTCTCATGTTATAAGTAAAAACTCATACGAAAACAATTAGATTGATAGGATTTATATGTAGAAATTTTATATAGAATGATTTGACCTATTTACATCCATTCATTGGAAAATAAAAGGTTGATTGATAATCACCTTTATCACATTATTCTGTATGAATTTTTTTGTATAATAATTCTATAAGCTTAGCGTTTTCTTTATTCTAGGATGGGATTCTTACATATTTTAATTGTATTATTTTTCTTAATGACATTTAATGGAAATTGCTTCATCGATATTTATGGATTTTTTTCTTATTTATTTTATATAATGTAATTTAGATGGTTGGAATGAAGAGGCCATATCCTTTCCCTCCAGACAATCCACCAGGCCCCGGCCCCTCTTTCCCTTGCAAATTTCCACCCATCTTTGTTCCTCCCATCACTGGATCAGATGAATCAGCGTCATGTGGCATTGGAGGCACAGTTAATATCGAACCCAACAACCCAATTTTCAGGTCAGCTTTCTTTTGATGATTTGTTATATATACATAATGTGGTTGTAGTTGTGTAATTCTTGTATACTGACATTGAATTAGCATCCTCTTTAGAGAAGGCCCTTCGAGCTCAATGGTCTTGTGTGAGCTGAATCCAATGAAAGTGGTAAAAGAGAATGGCAATTTAAACGGAGATTTTCTCACATTGGCTTCTCCTGCAACAGCTTTGCCCCAATCTAGTTCAAAGTATAAGCACCCTTCATTGTATCAAACCCCATATACCCGAGAATTATCAGAACTTCAATCTCTACCACATCAAGTGAGATTAAGCAACAAAAACCCACTATCAATTTTTTTTGATTTCTGATTTCATTCCAATCGCATCATCTAATAGTTTGCTTGCATTATATTTTTCAGGGAAGTGCTGAAGACCCAATTCACTATCCCGGGCCCCAAAAACAGGCTTTATACAGCTTCTTTCCTCCGGCAAAGGCACGGATTGACCAAGCAACAACCACCGTTAATGGCTGCAATGGTGAAGTTCGTGAAAAACTTGGCCTCGATCTGAAGTTGTAGGAGGGTTAGTCCATTTCTTCATGTTTTGGCAGGACAAGTTGTTTTCCTCCTTGAATTGCTTTAGCCCATTGTTTGTGATGTTTTGGCAGGCTGTAGCTTTTTCTCTCAAACATGCTAGGATGCGCGTTTTTTCATTTTTATTTTTTATGGGTAAAAGTAGAGATATGAATATGGATATTGCATTTTTTTATGGGTAAAAGTAGAGATATGAATATGGATATTGCATTATGTAAAGCATGAAGCATGAAGATGACAGTGAGGAGAGATGCAAATGACTTGTTTTTATTTTGGGAGTTACAAATTTGATGCAAGGAAGTTTGGTTGTGAAGAGATAATGTTGTAGACACTGATTTGTGCACGCTCTTGTGCACAAAATGTTGTTGTCATGACGGTAAACTGATTTAGATCCCAAGTTAATCTTAAATGAGTTTTAATTGACCTTATTGCGAGCCAACTTAAACAGCTTGATTTTTTATAATGCATATGATTGAGTTGAGCCGAGTAGCAAAATTTTCAAACTTGACTTAAGAATTCACCACAAGTTTTAAAATGTGTTTAAATTTGATTGAATTGTTTACATAAATTAATTTCTAATAAACATTTAATAAGTCAAGATCAAGTAACTTGTATGCTGTCTTGTGACCCTAACCACACAACATTCTATGCACAATTTATGTAAAAATTATGTGTCTGTTGCATTGTTGTTGGTTGTGCAATATTTGGGTTGTTAGGTTTGCTGTTTCATTTTGTATGGTTAGTGGATGAGTCAAGCACATCCTTTGATTGGTAAAAAGTTTTTGCATGTGGATTTTGGGAATCTGATCACACTAGCAGATGAGTGATGAGAGCTATGGCTTTCTGTGAGAGATTTGTTTGATAGTGGAAGGATACCATGCTTACATCATGAATTGCTGGACCCCTATGCGGGTTTGGATAATAAACGGCTATATAAATTTTATAACATTTTCAATTTTTTTGGTTAATTAATGTATCATTCACTAAACAAAACATTGCTGCTTGAAACCGGATTCACTATAATAATATTGTAAATGCCACACTAATTAATAAATATATTTATATATAATTTATTTGTATAACATTACTCTTCAGATATATACAGATGTATATTTGGAGTGCTAATATCAACAAAATTCATGTGAGTGGAATGAGAATTATTTTAAATTTTTTAGTTTTATCATATAACGGTTCAACTTCTCTTCAGTTATTGAGTTGTCAAACAGCTGACATGAGCTTGACCGAATCTATGATAGTTAGAGGTGATTTAACCAAAAAGCAACTTAAGAGCATTTCCATCAAATCTTATGTGATAACTTATCATGTAATATTCAATATTTCTAAAAGAAACAATTGTCATTTATCTAAGTAGTATTTTGCATTGCCCTATGTATATCATATTTGACATTAGCAATGTGTCAATTATTTATTTATTTAATTTTTTTTCTTTGTTTATGTACGACCCATATTAAGAGGGTTTTGTCAAAATATATATTTATAAAAAACACATAAAAAAAAAAACAAAACAAAAAAAACAACAACAAACAAACACACAAACAAATTGAAGTAAAAAAAGAATTTGCTTATTGACTAGCGTTTATTTTTAGAAATGTCAAATTACTAATCCTTCAACTTTTAAAAAAAAAATCTTAATTCTTTTAACTTTAAAATAGGCTTTCTTAACCAAAATCTTGTACTTGTTAAGGCGATTTCCGGCTATCTCCAGCAGCTTCTCCGGCGACCTTCAAATATTTGTTCTTCTCATCCATCCTTCACCAATCTTGTCACTTTGAGGGGTGAGGGACTTCCCGACCGACGTTCTCCACGCCAACTATGCTTTCAGCCTTGCAGATCTGGGCTATCCTTCTTCTTCGGCGTTGACTTTCGCTTTCCCTTCCCGTCTTTCGCCTGTATGATACTGCACTAGATCTGGTGACTTACAACAAAGTGAAGGCGATTTCCAATGGGAAACTAGCATTTTTCCAACATATTTTTTGACAGTGCTGTAAGTTATTTCTGGTTTTTTTTTTTTTGTTTTTGATTCGCTTGTCCCTGTACTAGCCTTGTTCCTGGACTAGCTTGGTTTGTTTCGGCAATCTGGGTGTTGATTTCCGATTTGTTAGGTTCTGTTTTCTGAGGACTCTTTGTGTCTGTAGCCTTGTGCTTTTAGGTGTTGGGTTCATTGATAGACCATTTTCCCTTCTATGTGTTGTAAAAAATTTGGAATGATCCATATTCCACAGGAGGAGAATTGAGTATGAAATTGAAACAAGAGGACTCAGAAATCTTAATCTCAAAGTCTTAAGACGAGCTACAATGTCTCTCATTTTTATAATGTGCTCACGCACACTTCTAAAATTGTTATGCTTCATACCTAATAGTTTATTTATTAGGGTGCTTGTCAATGCCTTGTTAGAACTAACAAATTGCTCTTCAATAGCCCTCATGTAGTTCTTGACCTCGTCATAAGCATTCTTTTCTATAGCGGAACTCTCGTTCGTGGGTTCAAGAGAGGTTCATGCACCCTAATGTCAAAAGGATTTTGTCCCTCCAGTCCGAAAAATTATCACCGCTCAAGAAAGAAATACGAGAAGACTCATTAGATAGTACAAAGGTAGAAATCACTGCAATTACCAATAACATCATTAATGCTATGAAACAATGCCAAATTCAGTAACAAATCTAAACCTTTCTGTGGCTAGAGGTCACTAAACTGTATTAGATTTGTTATTACTTTATAAGAACACTAATGGATTTCAAAATATTCAAGGAAAAGAAAACTCATACATGTGGGTTTAGAGTGTCCAATCCCTTTCATACCCAATCCATTATCTTATTCCAATTAGATTTCGTAAATAACTATTTTCTTATGGGACTGAGAAATTATTCATAAAACATAATTGCAATATGAAAATGTCAAATTAATTTTTTTTAACTTTATGTGATCATAATATTGAGAATCACTGCATCTTTGTATCTTAAGATGCTGTGGCTACTATTAAAACATAATAAATTTTTTTAATTAATTTATTAATGTGAGCAAATCCTTATGGTCACAACAAGTACATAATTTTTTAATGCACAAAATGTATACTACACACAATCAAAGTAATATCACATAAAAAATCCTAGGACCAAACACATGTAATTTAACCTTATACCAAATTTTGCTTAAAAGTTGGACCAAAATAAATTCCATAACATGTTCTTATTTCACATAAATTTTCATGGCATAAATAATCTTAATACATGATATTACACTATACTAGAGAATATACAAATGAATATGGAAATTTATAAGACTTTAAAAGATATGTTAAAATAGTTCACTGTATGAAATTCAGATGAATTTACTTACTATTTAAACATGCAACTACAATAAACAAAATATCCTTAACAGCATGTTAAAATTTCTTCATAAAAATTCTTGAAATAAATTCAAGCCTATCACGTCCCCACCAACCAATTTTATTTTATTGAACCAAATAATCCCAAATAAAAGCATGAGAATTTTTAGATTTTATACAAAATCATATTAAACACTTTGATCTGTAATGTTTGCCAGTTAATGAAAATTCGTACTTAATGACATACAATAAGTCTTTAAACAAAATATGTTAAGAATAAGAACAATTCTAAATTAATGTAAACAATATTATTATAGGACAAGATGAATTCTACCATTGCCTCTAATTAATATACATCATGCAACAGTTCATCTTTAATAGTGAGAAAAATAATCAAACAAGTTTCAGAAAACTTTTATTTTATTTTACACAGCAAGATATGGAAATTATGTATGAAACCCATATAAATAAAACACACTCAAATATCTCAAGTCATTATACTAAATCAATTTCAAACTGTGGTATAAAGTAATTTTTTTTTATTATTATCCCTAAGATTTTAGACCATAGTTCATAAAACAAAAAAAGAGTCGGCTTCAAATAATATTTTTTAATCCAAAAGTAGAACTTGTTATATGCAAGTTAATTGTTGGATTTGGTTTAAAAACAAAACGAGGAATGCATTGTTACAAGATTTTACTACATGTGACTTTAATCTCTTGATATAGGAGAATTTAAAAAAGGGTTCGTTTATGTACGAGCACGAAATAATCTTCTTGTATAATCTTGTTGATTAAGTTTGCACTCCTCCAAATGTCGTCGCTTTGTCACCTAAAAACACAAACGTGAGCTAGCCGGCGGGTGTGTGCCAGAAACCTCTCTGATGCCTAAGTCAGCAAATAAACAATAGACACAAAAGCTCTGTGTATTCTAGGATGAGAATTGTGATACCTGTACATAGGTCCTGTTATGAGCTTTTATAGACTCCAACCTGGCACAAATCCTAGTAGGACTTTAACTCTCCTTAGCAGAGTCCTGCTAAGAATCACACTCCCAAGGATAACACCCTACTCACTACCAACCAAGTGAGATGTCTCAAACCTTCTATCTCGGCTCTGTTGTACACTCAACTAAACTAGCATGGCCCTGCCCTACGCTGGACAAAACCAAGATGGTACCTGATTGAGATAAACCCCAGTCCGGTACGATACATATCATACCCCGGTCCGAGCTGCTAATTACATCTAGCTTATATGTTCCAGACCTCGGCCTAATGTTTGTACACCTTAAGACCGAGCTACTGAAGCTCCTAGCTCTGCCGGAAGCGTGCCCCAACGAACTGAGTTTACTTAGCTCGGCCCAACTTAAGCATATAAATTACCCTCTCAATTGCCCCTTAATTCCGTTTGCATAGCATGTTTGGGATTATTCAATTTCGACCAACCTGAGAACGTCCATGCCAACTGAATCCTAGAACCCAGGGCCCAGCTGGGCTAAAATATTGATCAAATACAAACGTAGTTCGGTACCTAGAATTGTGCCGGTCGTACACCCTGCATTTTTATGCTTCTAACATCGTGTCCTTACTGGGACACGTGGCACGCGTTGATTGCCCCAAGTCACTATAATAGCCGTCACACGTTGCCTAAAAAATTTTGAAAAGTCCCACAGTTTTGCTTCTTTGTTGTATAGAACCTGTATCTCTTTGAACATCCACTCTTACTGTTCATCTTCCTCTCTGCAACTCTTCGCACTCTAAGCTCCAAACCCTTTCTTTCTACATTCAAGTCTCATTTTAAGCATCTAAACCGTCTACCTTGCTTGCCCTAGCTACTAGTGATCCTTCCATCGATTGGATCCAAATTTCACGCCTCCAAACCGTAAGTTCCTTATGTCTATTTCTCTTTTCTACTCATACATTTCTGTTTATTTCTTAAGAATAACACTTTAATCATCAGATATGTGTATTGTATTTACTCAAGATTTGAACAAATATCAAAAACCTTAAAACGCCACATTTAAACCTGAAAAACATACTGATTGGAGTAGGAACCAGTCCAGAACCATGTTTTTTCTTTTGATCCAAAATCGTCCCATGACCGAAATAGAAACTTGTTTTGCAACTTTTAGGACAGCTTCTGACTGGACTAGAAATGCTTTCAATCAACCGAGCTATGAACCTTCCGTCTACTCTAAATCGAGCTATCATGACCGACCTAATGCCTTGAGCCGGTTCTGATCACCAGCTAAACTAAGCATAGCCCGTGATCCACTTGATGCTGAGCTAGGCTTATATAGTTTAGGCTATTTACTTAGCCCGATTTATCATCTGGGCATAACACTTTTTATTTCCACTTTGCAAACTTGATTAGGTTGGCCAGGCACACCCTTGCACTTTGCCCCGGGGCGGCTTTGCTCGACCGAGCCCACCAAGGTCACACCAGCGCCGTGCTAGGTAGCCACGCACATTTAGCATAACAAGTTTTTATTAAGCCAATGGGAAAATATTGGTTTCTGGTGGACTCGCCCGGTGCCATGGCTGAATTTCGAACGGATTACCATATCCTAGATGATATCCACTTTACCTTAGTCGCGCTAGACATAACACCATGGGTAACCCCAGTTACGTCCCTTTCACCGTGGTGTCCATCGTGAAAGGGGGACTTCAGTTTCCTGTCCAACCATTGATCTGTGGATTCCTTAGACAAACCAGGCTATGCCCGACTTAGTTATCAACCAACACCTATAGGATCATTAATGGGATTGCTAAGCTAAACCGTCGCCTTGGTCTTAACCTCGGTTTGGCCGAGCTGTTCCATCAATATTCCCTCGGCCAAAATGATGACGGCTGGGTTTATTACTTCAGAGTGAGGAGAGGCCGAGAGAAAATCGTCAAGAAAACGTTGAAAAAAGACTTAAAGGATGATGACTTTCTCTGGGTCTCCGGCAATTTTGAAAACCAAAAAGCCCAAATACCGAGCTACAATATAAACTGGAATAAGGGAACAGCGGGTAAGAGCAATCCGCTTTAATTTTCTTTGCTATTAAACGATCACCGTGCTAACCCTTGTTATAATAACCAAGCCCTCGTACATGTTTTCTGGTGTGCTTTCAGTCTCTTACTATGTGCATTTATATGTTTACTGTGAAATTCCATGTGAAATTAAGTTTAATTGAGTTAATCTTATGATTATAGACTTATATCTGTCAATTATGAGAAATATTTGTTACAATTACGATGCTTGGATCAAAAATTGAAAGCCTTAGAGGCTTGATAATCCGAAATTGATTTTATAAGCGTGATAAGCATGATTTTTAGATCATAATAAGAATTTTTGCAAAAATCTGATTCGGAATGATTAAACTGATTGATTTTTGTTTAAGTCAACTTTTATATATAATCTCTCTTTTTTTTTAAAAAAAACTCTTGACTTGGCAAAAACATGTTAACACACAAAATATCTCTTGAGAGAGAGTTAGAGAGGAAAAACAAAGAGGAGAGAGCTTCACAAGGAAGAGATTTGGAGGTTGAGTAGAATTGTAGGAAATTGGGTTCCAGGTATGTAGAATCCACTTTGTATAACCTCTCTCTTGAACTTGAGTAAAAATTTCTTAACCTTTATGCAAGTTAGGGTTTATAGTTGAGCTCAAGAGTATGTTAATTGATTCAATGAAAAGATGTTCTTACCATAGGGTTGTTTTGAAGTCCATATGAACTATAAAGAGTGGAAATTACATCTTATTCTCTTATTTTCCATGTCTGCACTCATCCTTATATTTTGAAGGTTACATATGTAATTGATTACCAAAATAGTGATAGCTTAGAAGGGATTGAGTTGTGTAGGCGAAATTGAAGTTGATGGCAACTTAATTAAACTTGTGATTCATGTTTATGGTGATGTTGAGCCATTATAATGCATTAATTTCCCTTATTTTGTTCCTTATTATGCATTTACCAAGTTGTGGAAATGTCTTGCTTCGGATTGCACAAACAGGGACAACGACCGCACATGCGGGGGTCATAGCTGCACGTGTGGGAAGCACCACCGCACGTGCGGGGCTCACAGCCGCACGTGTGGAAAACAGGGGAATGTGAAGTTCGATTCTAAAATAAATGCACGTACGGGGCGCACGTGCGGCCCATCTTCCCGCACGTGCGGCGAAGGGCCTCCACACGTGCAGCCATGTAGAAAAATACTGTATGCTCCTTTTCTCCTGTTTGACCCTCTGGAATCACTAAAATATGTGTTTGGAGCTTTTAAAATGTTCATAAATTGAATGGAAGTTAAATGAATCGAATGCTAATTAAAAGAGAAAAGGGACTAATGAATGGATTGCATGTGTGTGTAGGTTCCATCCCAGAAGGGACTATCGCTTCGCCACAGCACTGTAAGTAATAGTACTGTAGTAATATGTTTCATTACCGTTAATGGTTATTATTAACGTTCTGTTATTCGTACGTTGACTATGTTGGCTTGTGATGAACAATTGGAAAACCTATGTACATTATTGAACATTGATATCCTTATGGACCCGAGATTATTCTGCTTTGCTAAAGATGGGCCCGAGGCCGTTCAGTTGTAAGCCACCGAGTGTGGATAAATCTGAAAAAGAGGAAGGTGAGGGCATGCCGATGTCCCACCGACCGTAATGTGATTTGAATTAATTATGACTTATGGCCTATGGCCGAGGGAGGTGGTATACATGTCGATGTACCACTTACCCTCCAATTTTCTGACAGCTGTTTTGTTATGTGGGCCCGAGGCCGTTCCGTATGATATGTTGGGCCTGAGGCCGTTCTGCTTGATATTAGGCCTAAGGCCGTTTTGTATAAAGATTGGGCTTAAGGCCGTTTTGGAAATATTTATAGAACAAGATCAACCATGTGACCTATACGCTTGTATACATTGTGATTCAAGCTTATTCATTTAAATTCTCTACATTCTATTATTCACTGAGCCTTGGTCACTCCGTGTTATGTCTGTCTCTGTAGGGTCAACCCGGAGGTCAGCCTTAGTCCAGCCTAACAACTATTACTTTTGATCACCCTACTGTGTCCGGGCAGTTTAATGAAGTTACCCATTTTTGTGAAGTTCTTTTCCTTATCTATAGCGTTGATCGCTGGCTTTTGTTCATTATAGCAAAGCAGGTATAACCTTCACTACTGATCCGTTAGATATACCCCCAGTTGTGGGGATAGGACTGTATATGTGTAACCGTCTTCTACGTGTATGTTCGTTGTGTGTTAGGCTATTTAGCGAATTGTTTTGTGATCCTGGCATAGAGCTTTAGCTCAATGGATGTTATCTTAATTTACTACTTGCTTCCGTTCAGGCCCCTTATTATATAATTATTGAGTTTTGAGATCTTTATCGAGTTGGTCATGCCCAAACTTTTAGGGGCAAGTTCGGGGCGTGACACTTGTTTTGTCCCTTGTACAGATTGAACTAGCTTAAATCTAACTACGCCTACGTCAATCAAGCCGTACTTCGAGCAGCGCTCCGTTACCACAACCGAGATTGGACCGAGCTCCTAAACTTTAAGCCGACCTATCGGTATAGTGGAAAGAGAAAAACTAAGGTCACTGACTTCCTTCTTGAATCCTCACCTGAACCGGACCCCAACTTGCCCCAAATCAATCTTATACCACTTACTGAAGAGCAAGAGATGGCTAAAAGAAGAGCTGTCCGGGCTCTGATTATCGAGTAGACGTTTACCTCAAGCGCCGAAGTGCAAACCATGCTGCCCCCAACCAGTCAAACACGCAACGCCGTTGTTACCTTTTCCTCCACCAGAGATGTGCCATCACGGCCCAGTAAGCGTCCCCGTACCTCAGCAAGTCAAACGCAACGACTTGTAGATGAAAAGGAGATTATGCTGCCAGAGGCCGTGCTGCCAGAATAATCAATACGTGTTCGCCGAACTACCCCCTCACCTACGCCAGCGTGGGCACCATCCGTTCCTTTCAAGGGCCGAGCTGTGACTGCCGCAGATTCAGTTTGCTCAAAGAAAGGCCTTCTTCTTGCTTTTAACTTGGCGAAGAGTGTCTGTCTGCCAGCTGATATGGAGCACCATGCACATTTGACCGAGCTGAAGGCAATACGGTCCGCCAACAAGTCCCTTATTCTGGTAATCATGAACTCCTTATTTTTTGGTTTCTCCGCAAACCTTTTGCTCGGTTTTATCTAACTGCTCATGCCTTGCAGCCCATACAAAAGAACCAGATTACACATCAGCGTGTGCTTGAATTAAGAAAAACAACCAAGGCGGCCATTGGAGATGGCAAGGCTAAAGAGACTGAGCTTAAAGAGCTACAAGCAAAAGTCGCCGAGCTGAAAGCCGATCGAGATCAATTGGCTGAGCAGGTTTCTGCTGCTGAGGCTGATAAGAACAAAGCTCTGGCCGAAAAGAAGGATCGTTATCTTCGAGAGCTGGCCAAGCTAGAGAAGAAAAAAGACACCGAAATAAAAGCTTTGCGGAGGCAAATGGAGGACGCTGAGGAGTGCAGTTTCAAGGAAGGTGAGGAGCTCTACGTCTGTAGACCGCCCGAACTCCGCTCTGTGCGCGAGGGCGCGAATTGTGGTTCTAGCTACTACAGTTCGGACTCCTATCACGGTTTTGAATCTAATCTCACAAAGTGCAATGTAAGACTGATAAATCACCAAAGAGTCCAAATCTGGTAAATCGTTTTGAAAAATCGATTTTAATCAAAAAGTGCCAAACATGGACTGCTTTGCCAGATTTCAAAGTCGCCACCTAAATTTTTTTTTTTTGGGAAATTTAAGAAACCCTGTCTCGTGCCTAAGGCCACGTGTCCATCATCACCAAAGTTGCATCGGCTCGGGAACTTGGGTACGAGAGGGGAAGGTCTTGAAATGAGCACCCCCACTCGCCTGATCAAAGGATCAACCTCTACTAACATGATATGTTGTTTTTGAAAACACATGCGTTCTTATTCTGGTTATTAGCTAACTTACTATGTGATACGCACAGCATACAAGTATAGACTCAATCACACGAATTGAAACAAAACAACTCATGTTTATTTTTTAGAAATGGTTTGAAGATGCTACTCGCAAGTAGGCTAAGTTGCGGATTTGCCACCCTCAAGTGGGCTTAGAAAAACATGATTTTGCCACTTCAAGTGAGTTTAAAACTCACATTTCGATGAATTGTTCCAATTCAAGTAATGAAGCCTTCATCCACAGACATTCATGCAGTTATAGCAGTAAAGCAAATAGCCTCATGGCAAGCATGTTGTCATGGCAGTCATTTACACACATGCAAGGATGCTAAAGCGTAAACACTCACAGTGTACTCCAAGCCAAAAAAGAAGCTAGTTAGTAATCAATGCATGATCCTAGCTATGTTTGAAATGCCTAATACAACACATGCAAAAATACAACTAAATAGGCTCGGTTATCTAAGATGTCATGTGAATGCAATTAGATAACATGTATTCAATTTGGTATTGAAATATAATGCAGTTTGTATGATGCGCCGAGCCCGGTGCATGCAAGACAGATGAATGGATGCACGCATGCAAGCATAAGGATGCTAATTGAAATATGCCCTAAACTAACCATCGAAAGCTGATAAGTAAAAAGGAGAAAGAAATGGGGTTGGAAGACATGCATCACACACACGCACGCTTATTACAACAGTTCGCCCTCTCCACGGAGGGTCTGAATAAATCAACTAACTAGCTATGCTAAGCTAATTAATTACAAACCGAATTGAAACTAGCTATACTAAGCTAATTAGAATATTACAAAGATGAAATAAATTAGCGAAATACATTAACTAATTAATTACAAAATCAGCAAATTAACTAGCTACACCAAGCAGTTAAAATGGCCTCGAGGGGAGGGAGATATGCATGCTCGATTGGCTTCCTCCCGGAAATTCACTACTGTGCCTTGTGATGCCTCTGTTTACACTTGATTTGATTTCTAAAAGTTATGCCAACTTCCAGAATGCTTTTATCTGATCTCAAGAACACTCTGAGAGCTCATCGGCCAAAGATGGTGGTCATCGGCCAGAGTTGATGGCCATCAGCCACTTTCTGATAGCCGATCGGTAGCCTTGGTGGTCGGTCGGCAACTTTGATGGCCAGTCGGCCATTGCTACCTGCAATTTCTCCTTTTGCTGCAACAGAGCACAAGCAGAGGCATGACAGTGTATTTGCAAGGGAATGTGTGTACCATACCCCTCCATATCACCTCAAAACATCAAGGGAGAGGCCCATTGGATCCAAAACCATCAATCAAACATGCAATGTATGATGGCCAAAGATCCAACTTGCACACAATTCAATAAATGTAATGCAAACAAGACTCTAGGACCCTTACCTTATCATGGAAGATCAAAGGTAATGGAGACAAAGGGAATTGGCTCATTTTCATCACTTTGAGTATGAAATGGACCAATTCACCTTGTGTTCAACATAACGTCCGATTGAACACAATGCAATGCAACGCACACATGCAACATGCTTATCTTGGCACATTTTACTTGATTGATTTTGTTTACACATTTTAACATTACCAATCCATTCATTAATCAACTTGTCCAAATATGAGAGTCCTCTTATGTGAGAGAGGTCTATCAAAGAGAATGGTTTGAGGCATGAGAGAGACCAATGCCTTTGACTAGGAATAACCCTCAAAAGAAGGTTGAAGTCATTTAAGCATAGGCTTCAATCCCAAGCATTAAACACAACCTCAAGACTAACCAATCCTCAAACAAATCAAAAATGAAGAAATGAGGGAGATGGTAGATTTTTCAGTGCTAAAGTGGCATGATAAACAAGACTCTAACATGCAAACACTTCAAGTACGACATGCTAGTAGGCTTAAACATTGAAACTGGTGAAGACCACAACACTAGAACCATGCAATACAATGCTCAATGGACTAAATCATCCCTAAACAGACCTCATGCATGCCAAAACAGTGGCCAAAATGTGCTAAGATAATGGCTTGAAAGGCAAGAAAATGATGCTCATGCAATGGCTCACAAATAAGGCATAAATGTGCAACTCTCAAGAGCACAATGAAAGAGTGAAAAACATGAGAGTATGGCAAAGATATAAGCTCTGAAATAACATGCCAAATGATGCCAAAACATGCAATCATCACAAACATGGCATGCTATGGGGCTCAAAATACAAGACTGGTTAAGGCACTTGCACTATAGCTATGCAAGGCAAGCCCCAAAAGGCCAAGAACACCCAAAATAGTCCTAAAGCATGTCAAAATAATGCTAAAACATGTATGGAGTATAGCCAAAATGAGCTAGAATAATAGGCTAAAGAGACAAGCATGTAAGGCTAGCTAGCAAGGATTACACTATAAGTGTATAAAGAATGCAAGAGGTGAGTCCATCAATCAAAATCAGAGTTATAACATGCCAAAATAACACCAAAAATAGGCTGAGACTAAGCCAACACATGCTAGAGTAACAAGCTAACTCATTAGGCATGCAAGGCTAGCAAAGAGGATTTACACTACAAGTGTAAGGAGCTTGCATGGAGTGGCCAACCCAGCCAAAAATAGAGTTATGGCGTGCTGAAATTAGCCCAAAAATAAGCTAAGAACAAGCCAACACATGCTAGAAAAACATGCTCAATAATTAGGCCAACAAGGCATACAACCAAGACAAGAGGAGAGGGGACCACCCCCTCCCATTTTGAACCTCAAAACCATATTTTTACCACTGAAAATCCACTAGATTTTAGTGGATAAAAGGCCAAACAAAGATGGTTTCAAAAGCTTAGGAAGTTGGCTCTAAAGGCTTTACAAGCCAAAGAGCAAAGGAAGAGACAACCCCCTAACAAAAAAAAGGCCTAAACCATCACTTTTAAGACTGAAAAACAGAGCTTTTCTCAGTTCAAAACCAAGCCAAAAACAGTTTACAAAGGTGGTAAAACAAGCATGCAAAGCAAAGGTATAAAGGAACAAGTGCTTACCCTTGAAGCACCTTGAAGCTTATTAACAAAACCAGCCAAAATCTGAGTCAAAATCAGCCTTTGAGAGCTCAAAATAGGCTCCAAGAGACCTCAGCCCAAAGATATACAACTTTGATGAAGGATGCCTAGGCAAAGGAGGGGTGTATCTCCAAGTGTATCTCTTGTTATGCACACA